GCTTCATTGAGTCCAGTGACTTGCGTTAACGGTGTAACAATACTCAGTGACTCGCAAAGGAAAACTGATTCCGAGCCAAGGGACTCCACCATCAGCCTGCCATCATGGGCAACACGCCCACAGCAAAGAAGGGCAATGAGATGGAGAGCGGTGAGTTGTACCCTTTACCTCTAAGTTGAAGCAGCTAGCCCGATCATGCCGTCTGCCCCTTAGATCGTTTTGCTATAGTCATTTCCTGTTTCCCATAATGACAGGTACATATGGAGTATACAACCTAGCATCTGTACTGTGCATCCATAATGAGACCACATTAAAATGCTGCAACGGATTTTCTCTAATATGAAGAAGTGTTTGTCAACCTAGACCCACGAAGGACACCCACCCGTGGTCATTCACCTCATACACTGTCATACACTTTCAGCCAAAGTTGTTTTACTGTGAGGCCACGGTCAACTCATCGGAACAGCAGGGGATGTTATTCATTTTCTCTGCTCATCCTGTGGGAAAGCTCGTGACTGCGAGCCCGAGGTTATATTCAGAGTTACCAGTGAGGATGACAACAATTGGCCTCATACAACAGTCATAGGTTTCCTTGCGGTTTGTGTTTTTTAGGTCTTCACATCAGGTCATGAAAGCCGACGATAACACCGCAAACACAAAGCCCACTGTGCAGCTGCTTTCTTGTGCACTTCTTAGAATCGCTTCAGAAAAATAAAACTTTCTTCTCTGTTTTTGAAGCCAGAGGAGCGATGCACATACTACTTTGGATGTTTACATTAACCTCCTAGGACCTGTCGTTCACATATGTGGACATAATATTTTTGGTTATTTAGACCAAAATACTCAATTTTGCTCTACATGGGCCTGATATCCACTTACAAGTACATTATACTGCTACTGTTGTATCAAATTTTTAAATGAATATCCTCATATATGGCTCTTATTTTTCTTAAAAACAAAAATAAGGTTAAAAAAATGCCCAAATATCAAAGAGAAATTAAAAATGCATGCCGTGGAAGAGTTCGGGTCTTAGGAGGTTATGTTTACATTAGGATGTTTACATTAAGTGATGAGTGAGATCTTAATGCAGTGACTCTCATAGAGCAAAAATAACTGTTATCAGTGGAGGGAGGAAAATAATGCCACCAGGACAGGGTCATATGATGCATGAGGGCAATTTGTCTGCAGGCACAAAGTTGGGAGTTGAGGAGTCTCTTGAACAACATGTGATGAGCGGCATTTAGAACAAGGGCACTTGTATGCGTCACAGAGTCTGTGTAATGTGGAGAAAGAGGTGATCTTGGACCATCTTATTTGTTTGTTTTTGTCTAGTATATATTTGTTGTTGTTGTTGTTGTTTTTATAAAAAAGTTCTTCAACAAAAGTAGAATTAAAAACCCCCAAAGAAATGTTAATCATATACAATAATAAGTATTTTTAAAAACGACTTAATTTCTTATGAAAATAACTCAGTCAAAACATTTGAAGTTCCTTTTTAATAGTCTGGATCACAGGGTTGCAGAAAAGTTTTGAGAGGACACTGTTTTATGTTTCCATAACACCATAAATGACGCTCAAGTGTGCAAAGTCTGAACGGGTACCTGTTAAATGAATGTCAGCTCCTTGCTGTTGGTAGAGAGTAAGTGTGAAGAATGGCCTCTAGGCTCTCTACTGTACTGTTACCCATGTAACAAGGCCAAGGCTTTCAAGAGCCCTGGCTCAAAGATTTTTAATTTTTTTTCCTCAGGGTTGTAGACGTAAAGGAAACTGACGGATTAGTAGGTTAAAAACATTGACAGAGGAGGCAGTGCTGCCGGAAGGTCTTTTCATACTTTGTCATACTTCACATCTTTATCAGTCTGATCTACAGAGACAGGTGCAGGCAAGGGGTTGAAAGGCCACACCCAGAAGCATCATTTTCCACAGAGCAGCTAGAGATTAAGGGCAACATGGCAGCCGCCTTTGTTTCCTACGTAAAATGGAAGGACAGTGTTGAGAGCTGGTCCAGGTGTTTAACACGTGTCGCGCCCGAACTTTCCAGGCTGGGCAGGCAAGTGAGACACTGAACTGCTGTGCAGAGCTGACCCACAGGAAGAAGCAGGGCGGACAGACAAGTGAACAGCAGTAGGAAGTGAAGGAGCAAGGAAGTTCCAGCCCAGGCTCTGCACAGTTGGTCATCGCCTCTTCTGCTCTATAGACTAAACAGCCATACAAGGATAGCTTAAAGTTTGGGCCTTTAAGACGACGTTAGTTGAGCATTTTTGTGGAATTCCTCCTTGGTAAAATATCGGGACGTACAGCAGTTTTTAAAAGTCTACACGGGACATCAGCTGGCTTCCCTCCAGCATTGTGTGATGTCTGTAATTCACAAGCTGGCAGGAAGGCTGTTTCATCGAGCTGGACCCTGTCTAGGGGACATAGGCAGTGGAGAAGGCAGACATGACCGACCACAGGAGGAGCTAGAGGCTTGCAACTGGAGTGAGTTTTTATTCTGGAGCTGGGCAGTAGCGTGGGTTAGGGGTGGAGCTGTAGCTCATGCTATGTCCCTTTAGCTTAGTCCTTCACAGGCAGAGGGGAAACGTCTGACAGATAACCAAGCTGTGTTTTCTCGATAATGTTGCACTAAATTAATCTCTTGAACTGGGCGATTGAGTGTCTAACGTTCATGTATAAAAATACATCCGCAGAGCAGAGCACCCTGATATTTGTGTCTGCTCAGTTACCACTTGTTTTTTTTATAGTTACAGTGAAAAGGGGGGCAGTTCTCTGTGCACTGTGCTGCACAGCAAAACACTCAGGCTAAAACTACACAACATAAACTTTTTTTTTTTTTTTATTCTTTGACTTTCTTATGCTTTTGTCACTGTCCTCCTGACTCTAGTTTAAGACATTTTTCTGTACCTTCACACTTAAAGTGCTCTCATTGGGCTTTGCAAAACGTTCGCTTTGCGTTAGTGTGGTTTAAAGGTTGTTGTTTTTTTTTTGTGCATGAACAAAAAAAAACTCAGCCAAGTCTACTTATAAGGCAGTTATTCCCTCTCACTAGGAAAAACATGCTGCTTCTGAACTGGCAAAAAGCCTTATTGGCCAGTTCAGTCTTTTTTTTTTTTTCTTCTTTTTTTGTAACTTAATAACATCACCCTGCAACATATTTACATAACGGCTTTGTGAAAGTTACTTTACATGACATCCAGAGTGTCATAAGTGCATCAGCTTTGGAAGTTTTTTTTCTTTTAAACCTGTGTTGCCTAGATGGGTTTTAAGTGATTTCATGCCCATTTTTAAAGCACAATCACTTTCAGCATCCATCTAAAAAACAAAACAAAAACCCCCCCCAAATATTCTTGATCTTAAATCTTATCCCAAGTGATTGTGTTCAAATTGTGTACACTTTGCTGTATAAAATCAAATGGATTTTGATTTGTACTATCGCTATTTTATTGAGTACTTTACTCAACACAGATCGCCAAGAGTAAAATCATAATTGTTGCATTGTCTAAGAAACTGATTTATGATTTAACTTTATGCTTTGTAATTCACTTACGATGGCAGTGTCCCGATAACAATAGGAAAAAACTCTCTTAACGTCAGCCATGCAAAATGCCATCTTTGATGTGTCCACAAGCCAGGGCTGTGTCAAAATGATAATACTGAGAACAAATCAGAAATTATGAAAATCTTTAACACAGATTGGAGACTTATGAATAAGGACCGGGTTTAATTGTTGTTTTCTTTGTACCTTTTATGCTACAGAGCAACCTAAACTAAGCTGGCATCCCCAGATAATACACGTGCGGAGAACTTAAAAGTGTCTTAGGGCGTGTCCTCGACACTCAAGGCCAATGCCAACGCCCTATTTCGCAGTTTTAAAAATCTTCATCCTGTCTCTTTTCCTCTTGCCCATGTTCTACGTCTTTGCCAAGTGTCATGATTCGTGCTTGCAAGCAAACGTAGCTCGGTGTTATCTCATTTTTGCTGGACCTGCTCACTAGTGAGAGGAGACTGGATTTTTAGTGGAGGGGGGAGGGGAAGGCGTTAAAGGAACACGAGCAGAATTAGAGGCAGGGTGAAAAGTTGAGTAGCGAGTAGTTTACTAGTCTCGTGAACAGGAGAAAAAAGCAGACTAGTCAACCATGGACGCATGAAAACGCAAGATAAATCGAGCACAGTCAAACGGTTGAGGTTAAACGTCGGTTAAACCTTTGCATATGTATTTCAAATCAACATTCGACAATCAAATCACGTTGTAAATGTTGCTGAAATGTGTGACACATTGTGTCATTGAGACACACACACGCACACACAGTCAGATTAGTTAGCAGTCCTTGCACTACCAGCCTTTTTTCCTTGCTGGCGTCAGCCGATACACGACCATTAAGATCCAACATCAAAGTGTGCACTGCACTGGTTCAGCAGCTGTCATCTGCTTACTTAACATCTCGCTTGTTTAAAACTTCCCATCACAGAGAGGGAGAGAGAAAGGGGCCACAGCCGTCTGTCTGAGCTGCAGACCATGTTAGGGGTGGGTGGCATGATGGGAGCATCTTTTAACCATTAATGCTTTTCATTAATCAGATGATGTTTGACCGAGTAGTATTTCTGGTGGCGACTTGCAAGGGCTGCAACATTTAAACATGCAGATGACTGGTCATGCATAGTCCTTTTGAAGAGAGGTATTGCTGCAACTTATAGTATAAGGGTCAAAAACTGCATGTATTTTTAAAGTATGTGAGCATTTTGTTGTAAGAAAAAAAATTGCTAATGGGTGATCAGTGGGTCCTGTAAATATGAGCAAAACCTTGGTCAGTTAAGCAGTTATGACACAGGATGTTTGTGTGCTTGTGTGTGTTTTGACTATGACAATATAATGAGGTAGCACTCAATACAAGTACAACTCCGTCTATAAATATCTGTGGGGTTCATGACCTGCCCCTGCTCTGCATGCAGCTGATTTGTGTAATGCTTAAAGTTGTTTGGGGGGTTTTGTGTGTGTCGTAAGCCTGCACTGCTTATCAGTTGACCTCAGTGTTGAAAGCCAATCAGACATCTCAGGCAAGCTTAGAGCACTAAACTGATAACACGGCAAACTGACATTCGCTGCTAAATAACCCTGAGATCCAGCAGCATGCATGCATCACAAAATCTCCTATACCTGTTCTCAAAATGTGGGGTATTTTCACTTGCTTAATTTTGTCTGCCATGGATGATTGAAATATGCAGCAGTTCTCAAGCTGAAATTACACAATGAAGCTGATGGTTATAGACATTTTACCTGCATGTGACATTCATTGGAGTGCAAAGGTACTTGAAAATACCTGGGTGGCATAACTATATAGACTCAATGGCCAGTTTATTGGGCATACTTGTTAAAGTGCTTTTTGAGGCAAATATGTAATCAACCGATCAGATGGTAATTAATTAATACATTTATTAGGCGTTTAAACATGGCCATTACCACCTCCTGCAAATTCATTAACAGAGCCTTAGACTGAGGTCAGGAGGATCTGCTAGAGCTGAAAGGTGATTTTAAGTGACTTTCACATTGGCGAGGTGGTTGATGTTGGTGTATTTCAGAAATTGCTGATATACTGGGATTTCCTTCACAGGCATCTTTGGAGTTTACAGACAGTGGTATGAAAAATTGAGAAAATATTGAGTGAGTGGCAGTGCGTGAAAATGCCTTACTGAGAGGCTAGAGGTCAGAGGAGACCAGCATTTTGAGCTGATGGGAAGATGACACTTACTCAAATAGCCAATTTGTTGCAACCAATGTAAGCAGAAGAGCTTCTCTAAACACGCTTAACCTTGAAGCAGAAGACCACAGTCAGGTGACAGTTCAGAACGCAAAGGACTCCAGTCCTTTTAGTCCTTTACACTAACTACTTCCTATAAGGACTGTAAAAATATATGAAACGCGTATATAAATAACATCACATGTTAAACAAAGAATTTCCTCTTGTACTGACTTTATTAGTCTTAAATTCTTCCTTTTATGCTTTTAATGCTACTCTCTTTTGCTTTTTTGTTTTGTTTTTAACAAAGTAAGCAGCTACATGAGCTAGCTTTAAAACCAACTCCTCTCTGACTGACTTTTCCAGATTTTGTGGCACACATTCTGTAACCAGGAAAAAGAAAGTACTTATTAGCCTCGGGTAACGCATTGCTTTTGCCTCACCTAGTTTCCTGTCTATATGTGTGTAGGAGCTGCCTGAGCTCCACCCATGGTTAATCTCAGAGCACGGAAGCAACATGACAAAATGTGAAGTAGTCTCCTTTTGCAAAACCTCTAAACGGCGGGCACATCTCCTCTCCTCTCTGGGAGTATCGCTGCTGTATTTTCCTCAACTTTCATCTGTCTTTACTGTCCTCACTGCTGATAACAGATTGCTATGCTTCCTGGCTAGGTTGGCTTCTATTAGTTTTTGCGTCTCATGATTAGAACCGTCAGAGTTAGGGGTGTACCTTTACTGCAGCTTCCCTCTCAGTACACTTCAGGGTGCTCCTTGTGTCCGTTAATGTTTTTTGTTTTGTTTTGTCTCTCTGATATTGCAGTATTTGGCAAAAATGTATATCATGCATGAAAATAAGATTGATCCCACACTTCATGACTGGCTGTCAGCTCGCTTGCTCCTGAATTGGTCAGTAAATTAACACATCTGCTCTGTTTAAGATGGTAAAACACTCCACATTCATGACTTTGTCAGTATTTGTCCCCTCCCTGTTTTCATTTCATGGCTAAAAGCCGAGTTCTCACCTTTTACAAGCATTTGATCTCATTTCCATTTTACATACAGCTCTGTTTGCTCATTTACTGCTTTCTTATTCACCACAAAGGCTTGTATGCTATCTGAACAAGGCCTGGTGTAGACTCACACCTGATTTTGGCGCGCGTTGCGGTTTAATGTCGGTCAACTCGCCCTAATATAACCCCTCTATTCCTGCGTCAGAGTGGGGCAGTGAGGCCCAGGGGAGAGATGTGGGATTGATTTTTGGAGGATCAATTCAACCCTGGCACTAAACAACAGACTCTGGTGCTTTTGGGGTGGGTGTGTGTGTGTGTGTGTGTGTGTGTGTGTGTGTGTGTGTGTGTGTGTGTGTGTCCCGGGCAGGGGTGGGGGAGGGGGGTTCACTGTGGTTTGTGCCTTCCTGTTTTGCTAGCGTCTCCTGAGAGTGCCACTTTTTATGTTTCTGAAACACCCAGATCATCTCTGAAAGTTTTTCATCAGTGACATCTGATTGGTTGTGCTAATTGGGGAAAGTTTTAGCTGCTGCTAGATGTGTCTAGTTCATCTCAAGGGTACTTGCTTAGGCCTAGTTTTCCATAGGACTTCATCTCTGGGTTGGATAAATATACCAGCTAGTGTTTTATGCCCCCTCCCCCTGATGATTATGCCCCTGTTTAGATCAATATTGTGTGTGTGTGTGTGTGTGTGTGTGTGTGTGTGTGAGAGAGAGAGAGAGAGAGACATGAGAGGGAACAGCAGTGAGTACTTTGTGTACAGAATAAATATTGAAACCAAGCAAGGGACCAATTGATCTGCTCGAGTCTAACGGGAGCAGCACTGTTCTCCATACTATGAGTGCACACTGGAGGTGGATGCTACTTTTTGAACTTGGTCTCCAGCAGAGTGAAAGTCACAGGAAAGACTGAAGACTGCCGGCAGGGACTTTTGGCTGGGTTTTTGTGGATGTGTGGGCCTGCTGACTTGACCAGAGTGCTGTCAGAGGGGGAGGATAGGTCATGAGTCAGTGGCTGTGAGGAAGAGGCCAAGAAGTAGTATAGGGGAGACTTTGCAGGGCTAATGTGTGACAGGAAGAGCTCCAGAAGGCATGCAGGGAAGAGGGAGTCATCCTCACGCTCAAGTGAATCGGGGTCGCGCTCGGCAGATGCTGCAGCACCAGAGGTACCCATAGTCCTCCCAGATGGTAAGAAATTTGGAGCTACAGGAGAGTAAGAACATGGATTTAAAAAAAAATTATTTATTTATTTATTTATTTATTTTGATCAGCTGTATCTCCATTGGTACTCCTTGATACCAGTCCTGTTGCTGTGTCCATATAGCTGCCAGCAACTTCTTTCCATGTCTTTCCTTTGCGCAGTTCCAAGTTATTCCAGTAATGGCTTTTTCTGCTTGAAAGTGGAAGTTGTGCAACTTTCACAGGAAATGTTTTCTCCCTGGTGACCATTCTGCTTCCATTGCTCTCTGAGAGCCACAGTGCTCCTGACATGTTTATAGGAACTTTAGTCTTTGCCATTGTTGCTCCCATCCAATTGTTGGAGCTGCTGGTCTTTTGAGAATTTGCAGGAAATGATGTTTGCTAGATGAGAATTAAGCTTTTCTCTTGGTGTGTGTTTGTGTTTGTGTGTGTGTGAGAGAGAGAGATGCACAAATGCTTGCACGAGACATTTATGAGTAGGTAGCTGTTTGTTTTTCATAATTAATTTTCAGTTTTCTGATTCCGACATCACTCCAAAAGGACATTAGCCGTATCACAAAGCTGATGAATAAACGACCGAGCACTTTCATTATTGACAGTTGACTGGCTTAATTTAAACTGTGCCCCAGGCTGTTGTGTTCTATTGATCGCCAAAGCAGACAGAAATTCCACATGATCATTTAAGCCTTAACATTTTTTTTTTAAGAGATTTGTACATTTTTGTAGTTTTAGTATTGATTTTAAGGTAACGGCTATCAATTAGCTTTCGCTTGAATTCAATTCTTTTAAAAAGATGTCAAAATTGTTAAGCTTATAATCTGATCGTTAAAAGTCGTTGAGTCGTTCTCCACACTTCATTTATGTTTTTGTAATAACAGCAACACAGAAAAGTGGACTCAATTTTACTAAAGCAGTTGTCGGCCTACAACTGTCACCATTCTGTTTCCAGTACTAACAGTATAAATAGCACACTTCAGCTCAGCAGCTGTGCACGGTGCAATGACACTAAGGAAGAATGAGGAAGGGTTGGTTATCTACATGTTCCCACAGAGCACTGAGATTAACCCCATAAAGATAAGGGGGGAAAAGAACTTCTTCATATGACTGTGTGTGTAAAGTTGTTACAGTCTGTCCACAGGATTACAATGCCACTCAAACGTATACCACTTAGGAATGTCTTTTTCTTCTTCTTTTTTTTTTTTTAATTAAAGAAAAAAGTCATCTCCATCCATTTAAGCTGAGTGCAAGTGTTATGACTGTCATTAGTTGGTTGGAGTCCTAAAATAGCCAAAAAATAAACATGCTTCTACCAAAACTTGTTAGTGTTCTTGTTCTGATAAAGGCAGCCTGTTAAATGCAGGATAAAGAAACCTTGAAGATTTCATATGAATGTGTGTACTACTCCCTGAGAACAGGACAAAATGACTTTCTTAACGGATAAATGCCAGGACTCGGTGTGCAGCTGATTGTTTCTCTAGATGTACTTACCTTTCTCAGTTAAGTCCTAAACTAAAGCCCCTTTTCCATTAGTACCTACTCGGATTGACTCTCCACGATTCGACCCGGATCGACTGGTTTTCCATTACAATCCCACGACGTAACTAACATGCGACACGAACACTACAATAAAGGTGGGCGAATATAACAAGAATATACCTGTGGCTTGTCATCAGACTCGGGGATCACTGGGTTGTTTTTTTTGTTTGTTTGTTTTTTTTGGTAGCCATTTCCCTCGTTGGCGGGTTTCAAAAATGGCGTTTTTGACTTTCGTAAACAAGATGCTCTCATGGGTGACACTAACGAGCTGCCAGTCAGCGGCATGAAATCTGACGTCACAGTTTAGTACCTCCTCGGATTGCTTGGAACCCCACCTGAGAAGTCACTAAAAAAGTACCCGGTACCAGGTACTATGACCTAATGGAAAACCCTGAAAACTGTTGATCTGAGTGGCTTATTTCCTTCATTAAATACTACTATAAGACTGCACTGGGGTTTGGACGACAGGTCCTCATACAAAAGCGTGTACTAAGTGTCTTGGAAATGAAGTCCCACACGGAATAGCTTTAATTTATTACACAAAGAAATTTATTTCAATGTCGTTTTGACAAACTCAAACGCAGAGGCGGATTTCGGCTTTGCTGACTACATCCTGACTGATTTATCAGTGTTCGGTATTAGCAATTTATTCGTTTCTGCATTTCTAATGGCAGATAAATGAACATTCGAAAAATATTAAAAGCAATTGAGAAAGGCCTTTTACCATTTTACATGAATTGATGTGGCATAGTTTCTGTCAGAGAGCACCTGTTTGGTTGCCAGCACATATTTGGAACACCACAAACAACAATGAGGCGATTGGGACAGAATGTAAACTGCTAGATACATAACTACACATAACAAGTGTCAAAGAAAAAGTATTGGTCAATATAATCCATATACCGGATTTTTAAATCACTAAATATTGATAGCAATATCAGTCTTAGTCCTGCATTGCTTGGGTTCAAGCGCTGACGTGATCTGCGAAACCTTTAACATGATAAACTTGTTTTATATAACAAAGACTCTTTGAAACATGACTCCCGATGGTAGTGTGCCAGAAAATGAGTCTCTTTACGCCTGTGTTGCCATTAGTCTTCCATGAATCATCATTTTCAAGATTTCTCATCAGCTTCAGGTTTTATGAGATTTTTTCACCAAGGACATTCAAAGTGACCCCAGACTTTTGAGCAGTATTTTCAAATTGAATTTGTAAATATATGCAGATTTATATCGTTTTACTTATTCCATTATTCTCCAGTGTGCAGTCAAAGACGTTTGAGGCTTCAAAAGATGAGTTTGTTTAGTCTAAGCCTGAAGTGATACCTCAAAGTTGTTCTTTGATGGCAGAAATGTTGATTTAATGAAACTAACCTGGAATTCTTTGAAATTGATCACTTAGTTGTAAGAACAAAAAAAGAACAGACTAGAATGAATAGAAGTTCGTTTAGACTCCAGTTTATTTAAAGCTTTACTATTTCAATTTGGCTTTGTTGTTCATTTGTGTCTTGCTATTAAGTATTGCTGTGTTGTATTATTTTCTCTATTCTGTGAATAAGGTCATCTATAGCATTTTTTTTTTTTAATTTACAAATTTGACAACTTTAACTATGTGCTACGTATTCGCTTGTTCTCTTTCATTGTTGCTTGCTGGCAGCAGCTGATAAATCCAGACATCCAGTCATCACAAGCATGTTATGTTGCTCTCCAGTGCTTCAATATCCTTATAAAAGTCTTATTAAATTCAGTTAGGTTTGGGTGAAAACTCTCTGAATGGGAATTTTGTTTCTCTTTGCAGTGAAGGAGTTTCTTGCCAAAGCCAAAGAAGATTTTCTGAAAAAATGGGAGAATCCAGCACAGGTGAGATGAGACATAATTTAGTTTCTCCTCATTACTGTGTCACTCTGTTATTTGTAGCATGCTTTAGTTTTAGTTGTGTTGAGGCACTGTATTGTTAGTATATTTCACAATGAATCGTGACTTGATTAATGTTACTTACGCTCATTTACTCAGATAGCCAGTGTCATGGAAATAGGCCTGCCCCTAAACTAATGAAAGCCCATTCATTTCTTAAGGGCAGTTCGCCCTCTGCTGGGCATGTGTGTAATAATACAGTTGACAGCCACTTTCAGTCGCAGAATATATAACCCTGCTGGATTTATCAGGCTGTTAAGGAGACGGCATTCTGTCATCCAGACGTGGATCGCTTATGCAGATGTTCCTCGGGGCTACTTTCAGACACGAAAACGGTGTCTGAGAGTGCTACAGACCATGTGCAGTTTTTCCCCTTAAGACTAGTTGCAGGACTCGATGTGGAACCTACTCTTGTGAACTGCGACCACGCTTTTGAATGTCCATTTTTGCCATTGTTAAGAAGAAGCATGATCTCTGTGTCGCGCAGGGTGCTACAGCGAACGACCCACCCCTGACTCAGAGAGAGAAAGAGAGAGGGACCAGCATAGATAGATCATAGACAATTTTCTCAAACTTAATATAATTAGAAGAGATTTGGTGAAATTAAGTTTTAAATGTGAACATGTAATTGCTTTTAAAGGCATTCTGTAGCGCACCGAGCTGCTTAGACAGAGGCACGCGAGTGCAACTGCACGTGTTTGCCCCTTAATGTAACTGCATGCATTCAGACTTGTGTTGAATGAGATGTGCTCAGATTACTGTAGCACCTTTTATGGAAAATTAACAAGGTCACTTAATCAGCAGCGAAGCCACGACATGTTTAGATGCTGTCAGAGAAGTTCACCATGAGTGTGCCTCAAACAAAAGACGATATGTCCGATTCATAGTAAAATATCTTGTTACGGATATGGGATGGCCTTTTAGTTCAGGTTTAGCAAAGAACTATGTGGGGCTTGTAAGGACAAACAGATTGTGATCGTTCTCTAACTGGCATGGTCTTCTGTCTCCCAGCAAACTGCGGCGTTGGATCACTTCGAGCGTTTGAAGACTTTAGGCACGGGCTCGTTTGGTCGAGTCATGTTGGTGAAACACAAAGAGTCTGGTCAGCATTACGCCATGAAAATACTTGACAAACAGAAGGTACGGTATTTTTGATGAAGCTAATTCAAGAGTATATTGGAGAGTAAATAAATATGACTTAATTGGGTGCTCTGGCTTGTATCATATCATCCCTTGTACAAAAACATTTATACCAAGATTGTATGAACCATTTGTTCTCATATGTTCTTACAAATACTGGCTTTGGAATTTCCAGAAGGTCACGTTGAAGTTTAGACGTTTTCCAGTGTCAAAAGACACTTTCTAGCTTTACATGTCAAAGTTTCGGGAAATTCACACCATAACTACATCATAACTGCAAAACCCCCTGAAACCCTGTGGGTAGCCTGACAAGCACGTCGTAGAAATGGAACTACGCGATGGGTCGACACTGCTCACAGCTATTCTGATTGGCCTTTTCCATACTGTGCATTTTTGGTTACTTTTCCACAGCGTTATTTGAATTTATCGAAATCTGTCCTGAGATGTAATCATTGTTTTGGGGGGGGGGTTTTTTTGTTTATTTGTTTTTCTTTTTGACAGCCTTCTTACCTTTCTATGTCCTGATCCCTCACAGGTAGTGAAGCTGAAGCAGATAGAGCACACACTGAATGAGAAGCGTATCCTCCAAGCCGTCAGCTTTCCATTTCTGGTGCGACTGGAGCACTCTTTTAAGGTACGCATTTGTGTCCTTCCACTTCTGTTGTTTATCTGTAGTAATTTGGCCGGCTTGTTTATGCGTGCATGCTTTACGTGTCAGTAAGTCTTTCCTCATCTCACTACAGGACAACAGCAATCTGTATATGATAATGGAGTACGTGCCTGGGGGTGAAATGTTCTCACACTTAAGGAGGATTGGTAGATTCAGGTGAGTTGTGTTAACTCTGATGAAAGGCCTCCATGTGCTGTTCCCAGACTTTAAGTATTGAGCCTCGTATGTTGTTTTTGCAGTGAACCGCACGCCCGCTTCTACGCAGCGCAGATTGTACTGACCTTCGAATACCTTCACTCGCTGGATCTCATCTACCGAGATCTGAAGCCAGAGAACCTGCTCATTGACCAGCAAGGTTACATACAGGTATGGGTTACATGTTTGTATTCAGTCATCATCAACAACATTTGCTGCTTAGCGTCTCTAAAAGTGCTCTCCCCGTATGCGACTAGCGGTTAAGGGCTGTTTATTCTGTTTCTTAGGTAACAGATTTTGGGTTTGCAAAAAGGGTGAAAGGCCGAACTTGGACGCTTTGCGGGACTCCCGAGTACTTGGCGCCAGAAATCATCCTCAGTAAAGTAAGTGTTAAGCAGATTAACAGGGGAAATTTAGGAAGCAATTGCTTCATCAGCTTTTAGACTGTGAAACAGCTTTCTTTTTGCTGTTTCCTGTGAAAATTGTAGTGTGAAGTGTTTGTTAGCGGACATGTTTGATGCCCTTTGTTTCTCATGTATTCTTCAGGGTTACAACAAAGCTGTGGACTGGTGGGCTTTGGGAGTACTGATATACGAGATGGCTGCTGGTTACCCACCCTTCTTTGCAGACCAGCCTATTCAGATTTACGAAAAGATTGTATCAGGAAAGGTGAGTTTGGCTACCTGGAAAAATTTGTGTAGGCATTAGAACTGTGCACTTATCCCCAACTAAGGACTCATTTTTACCACCTATTACTGCTTCAAATACACACTGTTACATTTGAACCTTTAGCCTTTATGATTTGAAAAGTGTATAAAATAACGCATTTAGCTTTTCAATTATTATTTCTGAGAAATACTGTCTATGAATCAAGAGAAAAAGTTAATGTCGACTCTATGAGCCGCCGCAAAACTCATAAAATCAAATGCAGACAGGACAGCGCAAAGCACGAGCTGCAGTAGAAAGAAGTCGTGCGTGAAGTGATTCCTCTGTAAAACTGTTTAATATAATGTGTAGTTTATAGCTCCCAAATGTCATCTCTGACTTTCACGTATGGTCTCAACAGTGGTGAGAAAAGCAAAAGAACAACTAGCTGGAAGCAACTCCTTAGACACAAATGTCTCGTGCAGCAGAAGGTTCAAAGGAGAGTGGAAACAAATGGACACAACCACTCACAACCAGAGAACCATCAAATTTAATTAAGCCGTGTCTCTGTGCTCTTTATGTCTACACAGGAGTCTTTTAGGCACTGTATTGAGTCGTAGGTACATTAACACCGTAGGTGCATGTTTTAAGCACAGGAGAGTGGGGTGCTTTTCATTATGCTAGACACATCTTCTTATTTCCCTTACTGATATTACTTTCTATCACATTTGCTTCTCATAGCAAGAGAGAGAGAAAAAGAAGGATACATCAGGTTTTCCTTGCATTTTTGCTCTTCCAGTAGGCTCCTCATTTCTTCAAGGTGCATTTATGATTCTTAGATCTTCCATGATAGCAGGGGGGGGGGGGGGAGGAGAGAGGATGCAAGAATGCTTGTTAGCAAAATGAGAAGAATCAATATATGTATATACTTTGGGCCATACTAAAATGCAAGCTCTTATGCGTGGAGGATTGATTAAAATATAAATGTATCTGCTTTGAGAAATGCACATGACATGGAAAATTGAAAACGGCCACTAGAGCGCCTTCTCTGTAGACATGTTGGTGGGTGTGATTTTCCACCTGAAGGTCTAGAGTCTCGCAGTGTATTTAAGTGATTATACGAGGAAGGAATGAATAGTTTATTCCAAACCAAATATAAAAACAATTTCAACCTTGCATGAGAATATAGAGCCATGAATGGTTATTACACTTCAGTTAAACTTTAACTGAATTAGCTTAATTTTCTAAAGTTGAACTCTTACGTCAGAAAAGTCACAATAAGACCTTTTCCCCCAAAATGATCAGCCTCGTGCCTGAGAACACACTCCGAACAAGACTCTGATTGCTTTCTGTGGTTTGCAGGTTCGCTTTCCTTCCCACTTCAGCTCAGACCTGAAAGATCTGTTGAGAAATTTGCTGCAAGTGGACCTGACCAAGCGCTTTGGCAACCTCAGGAATGGAGTCAATGATATCAAGGGCCACAAGTGGTTTGCCACCACCGACTGGATTGCCATCTACCAGAGGAAGGTAAGAGGTTAGCTTTCATGCAATAGGAATGTGAACATAAATATAAACATAGTCTGGGGTCTGAAAAAAGGAGTCGGGGTAAAAGTCCCTCAGACCAGCTGTTTTTCTAATGACCAATAGGTGGTGATTGTATTTAAATCTGTGGGCAAATGACAGATGATTGAGAATTTATGGTCTCAATCACTAGTTTCATGTCTTATAGAACATGGCAATCACATGGTTGATCATTTTTTACATTATTATGACTTTTACAGTAATATTAAAAAAAAGCAGGGGCTGCTTTAGAGCGATGCTACCTCTTGACATGGCAACGTAAAAAAAAATACTCCAAACAATGGTTGTCACTATGGTAGCTACACCCATCTTTTATATACAGTTAATGTTTATAAGTGTTTCTTCGTATTTACAATTGAAGGAATGGAGAAAATTCCTTATTACATTCTTTCCTTAAAAACGAAACTGCTTTTAATGAGATTTCGGTCAGCTTAGGTGTGTTTTGTGACTGCGGATAATTTCCCTGTGTTCTGCCTGTGTACAGAGGGTATTTCAGTGGAGGTTAATGGGGAAAAATATGCAAAGGTTTTAGTACTTTCCCCTTTTCTTCATGCAAAAAGTGGATTCTGCAGAAAACAAAAGCACTGCGCCTAATTTGAAAACCCATGTTCAGCCTTTGTCAGTATAATATGAATACAAATACAAGTTTGAGCTCCTGAGTTGTAGCTTTTAATTCCTAATTCACAGTTAAAGTTGTCAAAGGATTTTACAAAGTTTGAATAGCTCTGCATAAAACGTATGTTAAGGGCAGCTGCCTTTATAGGTAGACCTGACACCACAGACAGGTGAACCTGTCCCCCCCCACCACCTCACCTCTATTTGTTTTTCAGTTTGATTAAAGCTAATGTGGATTCCCTGCAAAAAGACAAATAACTGATTAATGTTAATTGAATGAATAATTGTGCTGAATAACCAGAATTATGGCATTTTTTTGCCTTAATCAAGCAGCCTAAGTTCAAATATGGGCATCTGGGAAAGTACATGATTACACTGATGGTCCTGCAGGGTGTTCACAGATTGATTATCAGACAAACATCACAAATATCAATGTAGGAGTGTTTCATCGAATAATGCATTTGAAGTTACACTTTAACCGCTTTGTCTGTGCGTCTGTCTCCCATCTGCGTTCCAGGTGGAAGCTCCCTTTATTCCTAAGTGCAAAGGCCCTGGTGATACAAGCAACTTTGATGACTACGACGAAGAAGAAATCAGAGTCTCCTTCACAGAGAAGTGTGCAAAGGAGTTTGCTGAGTTCTAGATACCAACCACGGTGGTGATATTATGAGAGAGAGGCAGGGATTTAGAAAGTTAAAGGGGGTCTGAGGACAGAAAGCACTAAAGTGGACTGATAACTTGCTTATATGTGATGAGGAAAACGATGTAAAATCCACCCCCCAAATGGAAAGACGGAGGCAAAGTGATAAAAGATCCAACAGAACCAGCAGTGTTGCCTTTTTGATTGTTTCTCAACTGTTACCTTTACACTTTATTTATCCCTCTTGTGTTTTGTGCCAGGGGCTTGACAAGAACAGGCATAGGTTGTGGCTGTTCAGCTAGATTTGTTTCTTTCTGATGGTGTAAATGACATGTTTTCAGTCTCTGCAGGTTGAGGCATTGATTTTTCTGTTAAGGTACTGAATCTGCTAAAGCTCCTTTTTTTTTTTTTTTTTTTTTTTTTTCTTCCCTCCTCCCCCTGAGCGGGCCCTCTCTTCAAGCTTCTCTAAGAGTGATCGTTGTATCTTGTCTCCTCCCCACCCCCGGTCTCCTCTCCACCTCTCCATCCCGAATCTGTCCAAGCAATACCAAGTCCAACAGCAGTGCCTATCATAATGCCAACTGGTTGGAAAACTGTGTCAAAAGCGTTGGTGCAGAGCTTTGGCTACGGTGGCGGTGGCCCTCGTTCCCGTTTTGGTTGAAAGCTTGAAAAACTCTCTGCACCTGCCTTTGTCTGCTCAATGTGGCATGATTATTGGGTAGTTGATGCACTCTGCTGCTTGCCGCTGAAGCAGCGGCGACCTCTTTGATCAGAGTGAAAATGATTTATCACAGTAAACTTCACTGCGGTCCTGCTCGTTTAGGGACCCGCGGGAAGTAAACATGAGGTCTGCATTTAAGTCTGTCTTTCTCTTAGCTGAATTTATTAGAGCATTTTAAAAGGAAAAAAAATCCTATCAGTGATCATTTTGTCCTTTTTATGTCGATCTCTGTGCTTGTGTGTTATTTAGTGCTCACGGGTGGGTTTAAAAAGCTGTGATTTAGCAGCAGCTAACATTGTGGTCACACTCTTGACTATTGTTTATTTAAGTCATAGTACATTTATACATGTATATTGATATATATAAATATAAGATAGAGAACATGAAATATCCATCTTTTTTCAACATATGTCTATGTCTCATAGCTGTGAAACTGACTTTAAGATTTTATAAATAAACAGATATTATATAAATTCTGCCAAATTTGCAAACTGAGAAAAATGCAGTTTCCTGTATGTGACTGATGGTGGTGGATTTTAATACGCAAAACAGTAGCAAAAGGTTTCAACAACATGTGCATGTTATTTTTGTACAATATCACTTTTAAAGAAAGACGGCAGAGCTTTGTGCTTTGCTCGTGCCGAGGTACCTGAGATCACGAATAATGTTTAACATTAAAAAGGACAGTCAGTGCTCTATTGGAAGATGGATTGGGAACAAGACCCAGTTAAATGCGTCAAAGTTCTTCTGGGTTTGAGTCATTATTCAGTTGTAGGGCAGCAGATTGCAGATAATTGTCACCGGGGTTGTGCTTCTCCTCTTCCCTGACCTTTTTGCCCCACCCCTCCCCTTTTTGTAATTCTCCCTACATGCAACACCTTCATAGATTTACAGTCCAACCAATTTTCTTTTTCTTTTTTGAACTGTTGGGTTTGGGAGTGTTTTGTTTCTTTTATTTTTCCAGCTTTCTCTGTAACAAATTAAAACCAAGGAAGCAAACCTAAAGCTTTTTTTTTTTTTTTTTTTTTTTTTCAGCCAAGTTTCTTTACATGGATGCAAGACAATCGCAGACCAAATCTTATTGCTGGTTTGTTGAGTGAACACAATGTTTTGGTTCATTGAAGGACTTAACGCTGTCGCCCACCTGCCATCCATACATAGGCCTTAGGTGCTAGACCTTGTCCATCTCACTGAAAAGTTTCTGTGAACTGTTTGATGTGCATCGAGCTCTTTGTCATACAGTCGTGTAACATGACATGTTTAGAATGTTTTGGGGGGTTTTGGCTCCAGTTGATTTCAGTTGGCTTGAGTGATCATTTTTGGCAGTGTCTTAATACGATTGAGATCAATCGCAGGATGATTTTTTTTTTCTTTCTTTTTTTTCCCCTTTTTTTGAGAATGTCTTGAAATGGAGAAGTTTCAGTGCTGTTTGGAAACCTGATGTGTGTGGGGTTTTTCTTTTTCTTTTTCTTTTTTTTAAAAAATACATTTAGTTGGCAGGTTTGGTTTTTCTTGCACGTGGTAAAGCAGCCCAATGAGAAGACTTCCCTCTGGGCCTTAGACATGTTTGAAAAAGCACTGTTTCCACAGCTAACGGTCTGGTTGCTGGTTAACCTTTTTTCGGGGGAATTGTTTGAGCATCACACTAAACAGTAAAGTTGCTCACTAACCAAGCTGTCCAGCCTTTTGAACACAGTGAAGCACAGGCCACACAGTTCATTTGTGCTAAATATTTGAGTCCTTTAATACACACTGTAATGTTTTGAAGAGGGCACATGTAATGCCTTTCTACCCAGCGATGACTAAACCGTCGACAGGTAGAAGGCAACGCCACTTGATCCACTTCAGACACCGAAGCATCACACTTTGTTTTTTCTTTACAATACAAGACGTATTGTCACTTTTCTATCAGCTATCAACTGCTCTGTGCTACTTAAGGTTTTTTTTTCTCCCGTCTGCCTTCTCTTTTCATCAAGTTTCCACACACACTTCTTTCAAACATAACACTTTTTACATCTGAGATGTTTTGCGTTCATATTTTCTAATTGTATTTTCAGAAAAAGAGAGGAAAAAAAAAAGCAAAAACAACATTAATCTTTCTCCTCATGACCTGGGTACAGTGATTGTGTAGTCTATTGTACCTTTTGGGAAACAATACTGTATATCCTTGCCTTCGACAGTCTTAACTATCTTACCCTCTTCTGGAGAACTTGACAGATACCCTTAGAACACAATGAGTATGTTAAAAATATATATACATAAAGTAATATTTTGCAAAATGTATCATTCCAATAAAGTTTTACTTGTTAAGACTAATATGTCTGGGTTATATGTAAACTTTCTCTTTACTTCGCAGAAAGCAGTTGTAGGGTAACAGCTGGATAAGACAAATAAACATGCCGGTAGGTGATGGCAGATGCTGTATTTCCACCGTCCTGTCTGTTATTGTGAATCGTTTAAGAGGATAGCAGGCGCAATTGAATAATGCAGTGTTGTGTTCATCCTGTCACAGTATGGTGTCAGTTACCAACCAGCTCCCAGCACCCCTTTTCCAAATGTAACCCCAACCATAGTGCACTCTTTTATTTTTTTTCTTCCCCCTCTTTCTTTCTTTCCTCCTCCTCACTTGCATCTATCTGCATAAGTCATACAGTTGTATGCAAAAGGGTTTGGCACCCTGCGGCGAATTGCATATTTTTGTTGATTTTTGAACTGAAGACCAATAAATACGACTCCTGCAGCAAACGCGCATCAAAAATGAATTCTCCACATGTTAATGCACTCCTGCCACTTTGATTTATTTAATGAAATAAAAAGTACTTGTGGGCATGTGCTGTTAAAAGCTTCAGCTTGGGTTTCATGTGTGGATCGCTGTCGTCTTGCAGAAGTCAGCCACTTTTTCAGTTGCACTTCCTTGGCTCGATCGCATGACATTTGCATCCTGAATTTGCTGATAGGCAGTGAAATTTTTTTCTTCCCTTTTATCCATGCAATGTTTCCTGTGACACCACCCCAAAGCACAATATCCCCAGCCCCAAGGTGTTCTTTTCATCAGTGCAATTCCTTCCCTCTCTCTTTCTCTGAATATATATGTATAGATATCTATAGATCTATATATGTATCTCCAGTAAATATGACCAAAGAGCTGAGCTTTTTGTTCTCCATACAAGTCTGGCCTATCCAGATGTTGCTCTGCATGCTTCAGATGCTGAGTTTTTATAATAGGACCTCAGATAACGTTTCTGTTTTTAATGGCTTGCATATTGGCCACAATAATCCACCATGGAACTTTTTCAAGAAGCTCAAGCTCAAGCTTTTCCCACTGACTGAGGGAGGGGAGAAAAAAATTGTGAGTTGTTTTCTTAAAGATTAAAGCAATCTGCGAAGGAGTAAGGGATTCAGAATTTCCAAATCAAGAAAAGCCTCAAATCACAAATGAAAAACTATTGGAATGACTCGCTGTGTAAAATAAAGTGGGCAATTTGGCCAGTGGTCCGCATATGTTTGCACGTATTAAAGGCCTAGAAACCTGAGCCATCATTATGAATGCACTATTTCCATTAAAAAAAAATACAAAGCCATGGAGTAAATCTGTTATTACATTACACATTACATTAAGAAAAATGTTAGTGCATATTTGTAAATATGGAGAACATGCAGATGAGTGACTAATTAAATGGAAAAACCTTAAACTTTGACCTTTTCATTGAGGGTATCTGGTGACTTTGTTAAGCTGTGGGTGACATAGTTTGAGCCTATGATGTCTTCTTAGGGGCTAATGGTCACTTTAAATCAATACAGATTTGTCCTAAGTGATCCCATGATGAAACGGGGGTGGTTTCTTTCAGGATGACAAGGACCCCACCCTATCTAAAATGCAGAAAGGGTCACTGAATGGGCTGAGAGACTCCTGACTTAGTTTAATGCCTACAGGAGATTAATAAACTAACAATGCTCTCCGCCACCAAATCAGGATATCTTTTCACGAAATGGTGCAGAAACATTAACAAGGTGCTTTGACGTTATGAGGCAGCAGCTGGTGACCCCAAAACCTTACCAAGATGTAAGTTTACATATATACTGTAAGCTATAATGTAAAAACTATAAATCACTGAAACAGCTTTTGTGGTGGTGCAGTACTGTGTAAAAGCCCTGTGCTACCCCTCATTTCTTTATATCTTGCTTCCAAAGAGCCAAACTTTAACAAATTGCAATGAAGTGCTCTTGAGCAAAAGTTCTCTTGGCTTTTTGGCTGCTTTTTCACTCTTTTTTTAAAAGAGTCTTCAAACTGACCTATGAATCATTCAAGCATTAAAAAATGCACATAACTCGAGGGATGAACCTGTGTTGTGGCTACACAGACAGCTTAGCAAAGAACCATTTTTTTAAATTGTCTTTAGGCACTTTGTTACTAACAGCTTGTTGCAATATTGCAAAAGCATGTTTTTTTTGTTACATTTATGAAAAATGCCAAAGATAACACAGTTTGAGCATAAGGTAGTATTTGTGCACCAAGAGGGTGATTCTTAAAGGGCAACTAGCTGAAAACTTGGCATATCTCAAAATTCTGAGCCGTGTGTCTTAAATTTGAGGCTAATAGAAGAAGTATCAGGCCTAAAAGACTATCTACAGCAGATGAACAATATCTGAAAAGTCATATCCTTAAGTAATAAGAAAAAAATCCATCAAAGACCTGACCTTAGAGACAGATCTGGCTCTTCAGTTGATCCATCTGCTGTTCACTGAAGCCTCAGGAGAAATGGTCTCAGTGGAAGGGTAGCTGTCAAGAAGCCATTCTTACGGAAGGGAAACGGGGAGAAAATCCTGAGGTATGCCAACTTACACAAAACTGGACTGAAAACCAGTGTCAAAAGCTCTTAAGGAGTGATGAATCCACTTAAGGTCAAGGGAGAAGTGCAACAGTGTGTCTGCAACCATCTGTAAAACGTGATGGAGGCTCTGCCACGGTATGAGACTGCATTTCAGCCAGAGGTGTTGGGGGGCTCTTATGAATGCAGAAAGTGCCATCAGACTTTAATCCACCATGCAATACCACCTGGTCAGCATAGTGGCTTTATATTTCAACATGACAATGACCCAAATGCACTTGCTAATACAGTAAAAGCATACCTGGACAGAAAAATACACAATGGGGCACTGTCAGTCCTGGGCTGGCCTTCTCAGAGCCAGCAACGTGGGATCATTTGCACAGAGAACAGAACAAGAAGGCAGCCATTATTCAAAGAAGAGCTCTGAATGTCCTTCAGGGAGCCTGGAGAACTATTCCTGACTTACAAGAGAGTTTGGGCTTTGTTGACAAATAAAGGTGGTCATACCAAATAGTATGGACATGTTTCAATAAGTTGCTTAATCTCTTTACCACTTTCCCAGCAAAATATTAGGTAAAACGTGAAGGGAAGCTCAAGACTCCTCCACTGTACTGTAAATCTAAAGGAGAATGTACCATTGACAATCATTTGTATATTCAGATCACTTGTGTAGTGTTTGATGGCTGCACGGCTTGTATGTAATTTGTGGGTTTTGTTGTTGTTGTTGTTGTTGTTTTTTTATAAAAATATATGTATTGCCTGTTTGTGCAATGCTTTATTTCTTACTTAAGATTTAGGCATCGAGGGGGCGTCTCAGTTTGGTCTGTGGCTTTGATTTGATTTTGCGAAGCTAGGCGAAGGACTGGATCACGTGTTAAGAATTATTTCCGTGACAGGATGTTTACTCTAATCAAGGGTTGAACGATAATACTAATAATAATAGTTGTTGCCAGTTTGTGTTAATCTTAAACAATAAACAAAAAGCTACCTTTCCGACCAACTGGACCACACTTAATACCGAGTGCGGGCGCTCGTTCCCGTTCAGGACTGCATATTCCACCTTAAAAACGCCTCTCGAGTAAAACTTTTCGCTCTAACTCCCTCGTTCCACCTTAAGCGCAAACGCAAACGCAGGAGGCGTACAGCGAGGTTTCCGCTTCTCAGTAGGGCTCGGACCGCGGCTCACGAAAATCACCGTGTGTAACGCACAAGGTTGACGCACTGAGGCACGAAAAAAAAAACGGGGAAAAAAGAGAGCAAAGCAAGCGAGCAGAAAAGATGTCTGAATCCAAGTACCGCGAGTGGATTCTGGACACTATCGACTCGCTGCGGTCTCGAAAAGCCCGGCCGGACTTGGAGAGGATTTGCCGAATGGTCCGGAGACGACACGGGTCCGAGCCCGACCGAACCTGCGCAGAACTGGAAAAACTGATCCAAGAACAGACCGTGCTGAAAGTTAACTACAAGGGCTCCATTTCGTACCGAAACGCCGCCAAGGTTCAGCGGAGAAGCAGAAAAAAAGAAGATGTGTCGTTAACAGCGGCTGCGAGAAGGAGCGCCGTGGAAGAAGCTAGTCACTCCGACTTGAGCAACGGGGACAGCGCTTTCGGTCCCGCTGACCAGGACGAGGAGGATTTGGAGGTATGTGGAGGCTGATGCTAGGAGGCACGTTTTCATTGTCATGTCACCTCACAGAAAATTAACAGGTGGGGGGATTGAACGACCACTGTTTGGTGTGTAAAAATAAAACATGTTTTGCCGTGTGTGTGAGAGTGTGTAAGGGAGTGGAGGGGGACGGTGAAGGGGAGTGATTTGCAAGTGCACCCGAAACTGCCGCAGACGGGGAGCGGCGGTTGGACCTCGCTCGAGCGCTGCCGAGGTGGAGAAGGGGAGGGGGAAAGAGAAAAAAACTGAAGGTGCGCGTGAAGGGAGCGTGTGGCACAATTTGTTTCTTTCTTTTTTACACAGCGCGACAGTTTAAAAGCGCTTTAAATGGACGGCGTGAAAGCGCAAACGCGGGACGGGGAAAAGTTGAACCGTCCTGTTCGTCCGCAACAACCCGAGCCTCCATTATCGGCAGCAGAAAGCGCTTTTCAAGCCCCAAACTCGGCGTTGAGGGAGGGGGAGGGGGGTGCTGTTAAGGTTCCGCAATGACAGTTGAGGTAGCCCGGAAGTTGAGAAAAGTGCACTTTCATAATAATGGCATGAAAACTGTGCCCCGCTGGTGGGAATTTTATTTCGAAACGTAAGTCTGGATGTGTGTCTCTTCATTCTCTGTCAACGTGGGAGTGGGTGAAGGAGGAGGAGGAGGAGGAGGGGGGTGGAAAAAAAGTCTCAAACACTGCGAATGTAGGAACCTGACGGGGGGACTGTGGGTCATTGTTGCATTTTTGGTTGTTTTATGCCAGGGAAACAAACGGGGCCCGCTGTTGTAAACAGTGTCGCTATAGCCGTGTCCTCAATCATATTTTTGACCGCCCATGGCTA